TTAAAATTGATAAATAATTTACGGGGATATTTGCAAAAAGCACGTTTTTGCAATAATTTATAAATTTTATGAATTTTGTTATTAAAAAAATAAAATGTTATTAATACATTTGAACATCCAGGAATTACCGTCTTTCAGTATTCAATTTTTCCCGATATTCAGTATGTATCTCCCGATCATTGTGAAAAAAAAAATAGATTTAATCCTGATATCTACCGATAAAAAAAATATCTGCAACCTAATACATTTAGAGTTTTTTATACTGAAAACTAATAACATAAATTTAGTGATGAAAATTGCTACATAAATGACGTAAAATTGTAGCTTAATATTAATTTCTCCAACAGGTGTGTGGCCTATCGATCCGTTTAAGCTAGAATTGCGAGCTACTACGAGGAATTTTTGTTTGTAATTTACCCCAGATACTATAGGATTAGTTGATTCGGTGTGACATAAATAACTGGGTAGAAATCAGCTGATATCGGCCCAAAAATGTTACCAGGCAGGCGCACTTTGATTTGTTATCCTCTCTAGTCAGGGCCGTACTCAAGTTAATTAAAAGAAGTTATATTTGAAGAATTAATCCTAAATGAGGCCATTAGACATAAATATGTTTATCTGGTTCTTAATATTGCTGTGGAATAATCCATTCTTACATTTAGGTTAATAAGGAAACGAGAAATCTACGACTAATAGAAATTCCATAAAATTGGAAGAAATGTCGTAACGCAGTTTGCGTGCGTAGTCCCAATCCTGGCCTGGAATGGGGTTGCCAAACTAAACAAGATGCGCGTTAACATAGGTTAAAAGGTTTATTTTATTAATATTTTTTCTAATGTTAACTTCTATGGAAAGAAACCAAAATGCACATTGCTCATACATGCATCAACATATTCTACTTACAAGGTAATATTTTGATTATTCCAGTTTGTTTATAATCTTCAAGGCAATAAATCGATCCCCAATTGTCAAACAATAATAAGATAAGGCATGTTTCATTTTATTGTAGATAGATGTGTATAGTTATACTATAGAAATAATTTAGATGATTAACAAAATCGAAATTAGTAGAGGTCTTTTTTGTTTAAAGTTATTTTTGAATCAATTTGATCTTTCTGGACAATAAAAAGATAATGTAGACATTCAAAATCGGTTACATGAACTTGAACCCCAAAAGTTTGTTGCCTGTGACACAAAGATACAATCAATAAAGAATTTAATTTGAAGAAAACAACAATACACAGTTTTGGTTTGGAACTTTTTAAATTGATTTTTTATTTTGACTTACATGAGTGTGTAAATCATATTTTTATCTAGTTTAATTGCAAGTCAAAAAACTGACAGTTTACCTAAAATTTTGCAATTTTTTATATGGTATTTTTATTGACTTTTAAACATAAAACTGATGTGAGGTTGGTAACTATATGGTCAAGTATGCTAATTTAATTTTTATTAATATTATAACTCTATAGAAAAATATTATAACATTATGCTTCTAATACGTCTTTATCTTCTTTTTGGGATTGGGTATGTTTTCTGTTAACAATGTTTTTATAGTACTAAAATTAATTTGTTCCTTTAAATTGTTTAACTTCTCAAGAGTCAAATACCAAATTTTTTGTGTCAATCTAGCAGGTTTACATTCACTTCTGTCTGGATCATGTGTACCTTAGACCAACCTGAAGGTGTGTAATTATTTAAGCATGTTCTGTAGAAATAGTAGAGAAATCATTCACTAATCCACTTAACATTGTTTCAAATATTACTTTTTTCATAGAGTATTGGCCTGCTCTTTCAATAGGTATAGTTTTCCTGGTAGCTCTCCAATGTTGTAAAAAAAGTTTGTCATATTCCTACAAACACTATTCTCGGTACTTGCCGATTTATTAATTTGGCCGTACTGGTCCGGTATAAAAATGATTTAATGATTTCTTTTTTTGATGAAGTACTTTTTCCTTATCAAAAACCAAGTAATTGTGACCCGCTTCAGGAAACTTATGATTTATTATTTAGAATAAGGTACTGAAATAGTCCACGGATCACATATACCAGGGAAGTAACGATTTCCCAAGACACTCTTTGATACAGGTATCTAACAACTGCTTTTAATAGATTCGGTGATAAAAATATGCAAGAGTATGCAAAACATTATACGTCATTTATTTTTTGTTACTGATAAACAATATATAAACAATGTAAGATCGCTCCTCCTCCTCAGTCCTAATTCCTTTTGAGACGTGGTGACACCATCCGGTCTTTACAACTTTTTTCACGATTACACTCCATGCTTCCCTGTTCTGGGCTAGTTGTTCGGCTTCGTGTAACCCTTGGTTAATCAATACTTTTTGTTTGATCTACCCAACGGCTTGGAGATCTTCCCCTAGGTCTCTTTCCTTCAACTTTACCCTCGACTATCAGTTTTTCCACCGTATAATGGATACTGTGTCCAAAGTACTACAAATATCCTTGTTGTATTTGTTTAAAAGCTATATATCCTTTACTTTAAGTTGTTTTAATATCGATACGTTAGTGCGATAATCAATCCAGGATATTCTTTACATGCGGCGGTATACACACATTTCAAAAGCGTCTAGTTTATTTTTATCCGCTTTCTTTAAGGTGCACGTTTCGGTTGCATATGTGGCTATGGGAAAAATGAGTGCCCTTACCAGCCTTAGTTTTGTGTGTATTGCTATGCTAGAATTTTTCCAAATTGTTACCAGTTTCATCATAGCTGTTCTAGCAATAGTCAACCTTCTACGTATCTCTCTGTCACACCCTCCGTCATTTGTTATTAGGGACCTCAGGTATATGAAACTAATGGGTTTCCCATTAGGAACGTCCTGTTTTTGAAATGTCATAGTGGCCATTTTGAAAATGGTAGAACTGTCACTTGTTGACGTTTGTATGTAGCATACTCTGACAAATTACCATGGCAAGATATACGCTTGAATAACATTTGGAAATTATCCTAAAATTTTATGCTAATAATCGTTCTTTTGTGAATACCTATCGTGCATTACGTGAAAGTTATGGACCAAATCATCGTCCTGATGTGCGTGTAATTCGTCAAATCGTGGAAAAGTTTGAACGTGAATTTACTCTGCACGATACGAAACCACCAACTAGATGCCGAAATGCAAGGACTCAGGACAATACTGCTGCTGTAAGAGCCAGTGTGGCGGAGATTGCCATAAATCGTCGTTCTCAAGAACTTGGACTCACCAGAATGACAAACTCATTCTGAGAAAAGATTTGGGCCTGCACACTTACAAGATTGTTCTGACTTAAAAAACTGAAGCCACTTGGCTATCATAAGCGTCGTTTGTTCGCTGATTGAGCTCTAGACAAACTCGGAAATGATGGCGATTTTTTCAAAAAAATAATCTTTTCCGATGGAGCTCATTTTTGGTTAAACGGCTTTGTGAATAAGCAAAATTGTCATTTTTTGAGTGAAAATAATCCACATGAGATTTTTAAGAAGCCTTTGCATCCAGAAAAAGTCACTGTATGGTGTGGTTTATGGCATGGTGGCATCATCGGGCTATATTTTTTCGAACATGGTGTAACAGTCAACGGTGAAAGGTATCGAACAATGATAACGGATTTTTTGTAGCCTCAGTTGGATGAAATTGATTTCGATGGCATGTTTTTCCAACAGGACGGTGCCACATGTCACACTACTGCCCCAACCATCGATTTATTGAAGGAAAAGTTCCCGGAAACATTGATTTCTCTTGATGCCAGAGATCCCAGGAGAATTTAGCAACTTCGACCAGATGCTTGGCCTCCAAGAAACTGCGGTTTAATACCGTTGGATTATTTTTTATGGGGCTATGTTAAGTTATTGGTCTATGTGAACAAACCACAATATATTGAAGACTTGCAGAGGAACATAGAGCACACCATTCGTGAGATTAATGCGGATATTTTGCATAAAGTGACCGAAAATTAGGTTCATCGGATTCGCTCCTGCAAACGTAGTCGCGGTGGACATTTGAATGATGTGTTATTCGGAATATAATTGTTATCTATTATATATTTTTTTATTAACAGCAATTTTTACCGTTTTCGTTTAAAAAAAACATCAGGACATTTTTATTGGGAGACCTATTATTTACTACTTCAAAGAACCCAATTTCTTTAATGTGTTGAAGATTATTCCGAGCTCTTTCTACTCTCATGATCTTTGTCTTACTCCTATTTAGCTTTAGTCCATATTTTTTGCTTTTCTCCTCCAGACATCTCATTATGTTTTCCATTTCTTCTTGATTTGCCGCGATTATTAAAGTGTCATCTGATTAAAAGCTAGTGAGTGTTCAAAATTTTTTCCCGTCGCTTCCAGAAGAGTACCCAACTGGGTTCAGATCGGCAGGTAACAGCATTCGCAATGTGGCGGATAGGAAACTACTTTTATTTTTTTATTTGCCTCATATAATTCATCAAAGGGTCCGAACTCAAAAGTAGATGATTGAAAATATCCCGGTTGCAGTAAAAATGGGATATGGCACTAACAACAAACTGCCTTCTGTATACAATTAGTGAATAAAGGTGTCATGTCCTGGATTGAAACAGCATCTTTTTTGTACTAAAAAAATTTTAAAGTGTGAGATTTTGTTTTGTTTATTAAGCTACCGAGACTTTTGATAAACTAAACGTTAAATTAGTTTTGAGGAGGCCCAAAAATAATGAAAAGTCGTTTTTTAAAAAAATGTGATATCACACCTTTATCCACTTTAATTATGAGTTCTCAATCAATACGAACTTTTGTATATATGAATATCACAATTTTGTTTATTTTAAATATTTACAAAAATGTGAATATCAACAAAGGTACAATCCAAATCAACGCACAATAGGAGAGTGGCATTTTAGCAAAGTTCATACAGTTGTAAATATGTAAATATAATTTTCAAAATCGTAATATTTGGTTTAAAACACCATAAAAACATTTTTTGTATAGTTACGTGTATTTATATTTATTGTTAATTTTGTTGCAGATTGTCTGGTTTAGATCTATCACCTAAAGTCATATCAAACGATTCAAATCCCTTAGATAAAGTTAAAAGTAACCTGAAACTAGTAGAACCAATTCCACATGCTCAAAATGGTGTCAATTTCTCAGCGCCTATTACCAAAGTTCAAATCCAAGAAATTACACTGCCAACTTCAGAATCTGTTTTCCAACCTATTACACAAAATCAAAATAGAAAAAAGTAAGTACCCGAATTTTTATAAATGCTTTTATCGGTTAATTCATATTTTTATCACACATATTTATATACGTTTAAAGTTTAAATAAAAATAATTAGCGGGTACTCACTTTATAAAAAAGGGTTTGTTCACTAGAGTTATGTGTAATATACCTCATGCTAAATACAGACCTTATACTATAAAGAGTTATCCAGGTAATGAGATAAAGAGATTCTTCCTTTACTATCTTTCTTCTTCAGCTTTTTCCCATTATGAGTTCCTCACCTAAATATTGTATCCTGTCCACTCCGCGTTCTGTTTGGCATTCCGTACTTGTATAATTGCCAACTTTTACATTTACTTTGATTATCAACTACTAATTATCAACTCCGGTTTTTTGTAGTATTTCAATTAGCTTAGCATGTAGTGTCCTATCGAAAGCTTTTTCACAATGTATGAAACACACGTAGGCATTTATTTTTTGATCTTTGTATTTCTGAAGGAACATGTATAGTGAAAAAAAGCTTTTCGTACCCCAGAAGCGTTGCAGAAATCAAACTGTGTTCTTCGCATTTTTTTTTCCAATTCGGACATGTATAATTCCGAGAACGACTTTAATAATATGTGATCGAGGAGTCTGTAATCACCGCAGTGTCGATGTCTCTGTTTTATCTTCAGAGGTACAAATGTAGATGTAGTCAATTACTAGGTATCTTACCAGTTTTATAGATTTCATTGACAAGTTTAACCATAACCTGAATATTGTCTTCGTCCAGTATTTTGAGTTGAACACGCTTTAAGTTTTAGGACCTGGGTATCTTTTTGGTTTTACCTATATCGCTACCGTACTTATGACGTTTTTTTTATAGAACTTAATACTAGACCATATCATTTAGTTTTTATTGTATATTTTAATTTCATTCGCCAGTTCTCTGGGGTATCGGTTAGCAAAGATTTTCTCCAGTGTATACTGGGCACGGTGGTCTTACATTTCGGAATTAAAAAAAAATCTGCAGTTAAAACAGCTGTCATGTTCTCATTTGGATATTTTTTTTTGTTACACTTAATTCACACTTCTCCTATTGTCATATATATATATATATATATATATATATATATATATATATATATATATATATATATATATATATATCCATAGAAAGTTGCTCATTTGCCTTTGGGTCGCGCCGTGTCGGAAATGAGAACTTCCTTACCCGAGTGTAGAGCGCACACTCATAATCTCTGACCGGTATGCTCTCTATACATCTACATGTGAGAAAGATATTTAAGAAAATTGGTTTCAAAGGTTTGAATTTTTACCCTTGCTATTGTCTTACGCCAGTGAATATAGTACCTAATGATTCTGTTTGAAATTGTTTTAATATTGATTTTACTAACATTATAAATAACAATTAAATTATTATTTCTTATAGAGTCATGCCAACCAAGGAAATGCAGGGCGCAATGAAAGTCCTGAACGACCATCTTATGAAGAACCCTTCCAAAAACATCAAGAACCCTACAGCTGAAAATATTATTCAAACGGAATGGTTCAAAATATCCAGCTCAGTAACAGCCAATCCATTAGAAGTGGAGGATTACCTGGATGCTTTCGAAGATGTATCCAGCTTGTTACTGGAATACATAGTAAACATGAGTGATTATAGTGGGAACACAGCCATGCATTATGCTGTTTCCCATGGCAACTTTGATGTCGTATCCATTTTGTTAGATTCTAAAGTTTGTGATATCAATAAACAAAATAAGGCTGGATATACAAGTGTTATGTTAGTTTCTTTGGCGGAAGTTAGATCCCAAACACATGCCAACGTTGTCCGAAGACTGTTTCAGTTAGCTGATGTTAATATTAGAGCGAAAGAGGTATTAATACTCAGCAAATTGTAAAGTTAGTTTTTTAATAAATTGACATTTTAGCATGGCCAAACAGCACTGATGTTAGCAGTAAGTCACAATAGGTTGAACATGGTGAAGATGTTGTTGGAAGCAGGTGCAGATATAAATATTCAGGACGAAGATGGCAGTACGGCCTTAATGTGTGGTGCTGAACACGGCCATATCGAAATAGTTAAACATTTCCTTTCCCAACCAGATTGCAATTCGACAATTATAGATATGGTACGTACAAATTAATATGTTTCTTCAAATTCTATCACTTTGTGTCTTATTAAAGGTCTCTAATGAATTATTTTACATTTTATTTGTGAATGTTTTGACCTGATCTATTCGGTCCAGTATAGCAAAAATACTAGTCCGCTTAATATGTAGCTGCTTAATTAAACCCGATTTTTGGTGGTTTTTAGTGAGATATTACAAACATTTTCCATGCAGCGGTATTGTGCTTCAAACGATCAAACAAACCAGAAAAGTTGTGTAGAAATTATAAATGAAAAAACAATTTAAATTTTACCAACGAGGCAAATAAAACCGCCGAGGTATTGTAACGTTCAACAATATAAGAAACTAGAAAAATTAAGCAAACTGTGGTTTTAACCTATAAATGTATATAATCGCGGTGGGTGGTAATACTAATTTGAAAGTTAACTTATTTGACCTCGATCTTATAGGCATCACCGATGTTTTGAGGCGGAGTTTCTGAGCGGTTTTTTTCGATTCGCGATAGATGGTGCTGTAATCACAGAAAAACAAATACAGATCAGAAGGCAAAATCATTTTTATTATACTGAATATAGTTTTTATAATTTTTTTGCTGAATCCGAGTTTGCATAAAAAAATGGAAGTTCCTGTATAAGATATCATTGTTGTCACCACCTCAGCCCATCACTAGGGGTGGGATCTGGGGTCGTGATTGGTGTCATTCGATAGATTTATGAAAAATATTGAAATCGTGTTTTTCAGTTTTTTTTATTCGATGTAAATTTCGCAAAATATTCGACTATTCCGCTTCGTTTGGCACACCCTGTATAATACGAAATCATATTCTTCTTTAAATGGTTCACAAAATGGAAGCCAACAGGGAGTAGGTTTTAGTATACATCCAAGAGTATAGTATAGTCGTACCTCAACTATGAAAGACAGAATACCGTTTATCACACTAAAAATGTGTAGAAATGAAAGACTCAAAATTATCGAAATATACGCACCAAAAACAGATTATAAAGAGAAAAAAAAAAATAAATTCATCTATACTTCCTCACTGCTGCTTAATATCTGCTTACCATATCTTCCTGTAGTACTGATGGACTATCGATAAAACATTTCTCAAATCTCCCAAAAAATGTGTTTGAAGTCCTGGTCTCACTGATTATTGATTCCTTTGAAAATTTATATTTCCATAGTGCCTAAAGACAGCCATTATTGTTCCTCTCCATAAGGATGGTGAAAAATCGAGTGCCCGCAACTATAGACCTATTGCCTTACTACCGGTGCTATGCAAAGGTTTTGAGATATTGACTTATGTCCTTTCTAATTTAAGACATTTTATCACAAAAAAAACTGGAATTTTTATCTAATAAATGTAGCAGTGATGCTATGTTTTCTGAGCTAAATGAGGATTACCAAGCATTAAACAATAATCTTTACACTGCGACTGTTTTTGTGACTCTATCAAAGCTTTTAATGGTGTAAATCACGACATTTTTATAAAAAACTAAATTTCTACGGAATTCGAGGCATTTCTTTGAATTGGTTCCAATCTTACTGGTTAGAGCAAATGGTACTGACTGTATTCACAAGAGCATTGTATGTGGAATACCACAAGTTTCAGCAGATTCGATGAAATTTTTTTTTATTTTAATTTTTTTAAATAAAAACCTGGTCCGACTCTAATTTAATATCTTTTAACGGGGATAAAACAGTAAGTAGCATTATCCTATAAAGGAGCTCTTCAACCCTTGCTTCTTAGTAACAGTCAGATCAGTATCCTTGATTCTGTAAATTTTCTTGGTATTTTTTATAGACAGCAATCTTAAATGGTCCCTTCATATCGAGTTGTTAAGAAAGAAATTAGCCTCAGCCTGCTATGCAATACGATCTGTTTCAAAGGAAATCAATTTAGCTTCTTATTTAATTAATTAATTATTAATAAACCACTTCAAAGATATTATGGATAGATTTAGCGACTACCGACAGATCTACACAGATGCATCAAAAACAACGGACGGAGTCGGCGCAGCCATTTTGTGTAATACTCATAATGCTAAATTTAAGTTGCATAACAACTGGACTATCTTCAATGCAGAACTATACGCAATCCTTGAAGCTCTAAAATTCATTAACAAAACGAACCAGAGAAATTACACAATAATAACTGACTTAATGAATGCCCTTTGTCCAGCAACCCTATTCATAAAGACATTTACAAGAACTTCAAAATGCTGCAAAGGAAAACAAACACGTAGTATTAATCTTGGTTCCATCGCATATTGGAATACACGATAACGAAGTTGTGGACCGTCTAGCTCACGAAGCAGCGTCAAGTGATGGTCAAGTGCAATTAAATAAAATAGTGCCAAGTGATCTTAAATTGTTCTTAAAAAAAGTAATTAGTTGTGCGAGGCAAAACAAATGGTCGCAGTGTTCCGAAAAACTAAGGCAAATTAAAGACAATGCTTTACAAAAACAAGCCTTTGTGTTACCTAGAAAAAAACAAGTCATCTTTTCTCGACTTCGACTTGGTCACACCCGCCATACACATCTTTACCGAATTACAAGAAACAATCCTCCATACTGCAACCAGTGTCAAACCAACAGTACAGTAAAACATATTTTAACCGAATGTCAAATTTTCCAGGAAACGAGAAGTAAACTACTCAACCTTCCCAGTGACATAGGCGAGCTTCTTAGACAACAATCATCTAAACAATATTATAAAGTTTTTAACGGCTACAGGCATAAAAGATATTTAAATTAAAATCTAGTCTGTATCACAAATTACATATATCCATCTTCTTCCATGTTAGTATGTAATTAACATTTACCTTTCTTTGTTCTAATATGTATTTTTATTTGTTTTAATTTTTAATTTTTTTAATTTTTAATTAAAAAAAAAGCTTCTTCCAAAACAACATGTTTTTCTTGGTTCGTGTCTCATCTTTGATATGGTCTTCTTTTTTGGGGTTCTTGTAGCGCTGCCAATCTGATGTTATTTTTGAATTACAAAAAAGAGCAATACTGTATCTGATTGGCCTTAGAAGAAGAAACCATTTCAGAAACTAATTCAAAAATCACGGGATTTTAACGCTTCCTTCTTTACTTATTTTAGAAACTGTTTGCTTAATTCGCAAACACCTACATGTTTTTCCGGCAAGATGTAATCGGGACTACTTCACCAGAGATTCAACCTTTGATGTTAATTTACCGAGACGTCCACTGAGCACTAGTAAAGAAATATATATTATATTCGGCAAAAAACTATACAACTGATTACAACCATCTCCTTTTACAACTTAAATCTGCAACATCTTTCCCAAAGTTTCGTAAAATTACAAAAGCCTGTCTATCTTAAAATTCATATTATTCAGGAGAATAGTTTCTTAATGAATAACTAAGAAATTACAGTACCTTTATGTACAAGTAACTAAAGTATTTATCTTCTTCTTCACATGCAAATCCACTAATGGATGTCAGCGATCACATTTTCCATTAATTCTCTACTTCTTGCAATATGTATCAGAGATTGTTTGTCGTTAATCCCTGTCCATTGCCTTATGTTTCGGAGCCAGGACATTTTCTTGCGTCCCATTCCTCTCTTGCCTTCAATTTTACCCTCGATTATAAGTTGGAGGAACTGGTATTTTTCATTTCGCATGATGTGACCTAGATACGCGGTTTTCCTTTTGTTGATGGTTTCGAAAAGTTGGCGTTCTTGGTTTATTCTTTTAAGGGCATCTATATTTGTGATTTTCGCTGTCAATGGTATTTTTAGGATACGGCGATAAAGCCACATTTCGAAAGCTTCTAATCTGTTTATATCCCTCGTTTTGAGTGTCCAGCCCTCTACGCCATATAGCAGCACTGACCATATGTAGCACTTAGTAAACCTTAGTCTCAGTTGAAGATCAAACTCTGAACAAGTCAGTACTTTCTTGAATTTTACGAGAGCTTGTTGAGCTTGCTCAATGCGACATTTTACTTCCCTGTCCGATGCCCAGTCTTCAAAAAGCCACGATCCCAGGTATTTAAATTTACTCACTCTTTCAATGGACTTAGTATTCAGTGTTATGGTGGAGTTTTCAAGTGCATCTAAGTTTCTGGAGATGATCATAAATTTGGTCTTTTTGGTATTAATCTCTAATCCCATTCGCTTACTGTATTCTCCGATTATAGTGACAAGTTGTTGAAGATCGACTATGTTGTCACAAATTAAGACACCATCATCAGCATTTCGTATGTTGTTGATCAATACTCCATTCACCTTGATTCCCATCTCTGCATCCTCCAAAAACTCTTGAAATATGGCTTCCGAATAAATGTTAAATAAAAGAGGGGAAAGCACACATCCCTGTCGAACGCCTCTTCTTATATGTATGGGTTTGGATATAGAATTGTCTATTTTTAACTGTGCCGTTTGATGCCAGTACAAGTTTTCAATGCATCTTATGTCATTTTGGTCTATATCAACTTTCTTGAGAATCTGCATTAACTTGTGGTGTTGGACACGATCAAACGCTTTTTGGTAATCTAAAAAGCATAGGAACACATCCTTCCTCTGATCGTAACAATTTTGGACCAGCACCTGTGTTGCTACTATTGCTTCTCGTGTTCCTAAACCTTGCCTAAACCCGAACTGGGAATTACTGATGTCCCATTCACATTTTTTGTATAATCTTTGATGTAGTATTTTTAAGAATATCTTTAAAGTGTGACTCATCAGGCTAATGAGTCTGTGATCCTCACATTTTTTTGCATTGACTTTCTTGGGCAGGGGAATAAAGGTAGAGCGTAACCACTGTTGAGGATAGCAGCCAGTTTCATAAATTAAATTAAATATTTTGTTTAGTGCTGAAATTCCCCTTTCATCTAGTAATTTGAGTATTTCTGACGGGATTTCATCTGGTCCAGGTGCCTTATTGTTTTTTGAATTTAATATTGCCTTTTCTATCTCCTCTTTGGTGATTGAAGGGCCAGTTAGCTGGTCGTCTGTATAAACTTCACTCATGGGTGTTTCGTCATGGAAGAGCTCCTGGATATAATTTTCCCATATATCAATTTTCTCCTTTTCACCCAGCACTATCTGGTTATCCTGATTAACTATGGTAGTTGGTCTTCGTTTTCTGTATATTCCAGCAGTCTCCTTAAGCTTTTTATGTAAATTACGGTCGTCGTGCTGTCGTTGTAAATGTTCTAGATCGATACATTGTTGCTTGAGCCATTCATTTTTTGCTATTCTTATTTTTGCTTTTATTTGCCTGTTAATGTTTTCATACATATTGCTGCCATATTGGTCATTCTTGTGTCTTCGTCGTTCTTCCATTAGTAATAGTATTTCTTCTGTCATCCATTTTTGCCTCTTGTTATTTCGTTTGTACCCTAAGTTGTTTTTCATGATGTCTGTCTGTTACAGTATTTATATATATATATATATATATATATATATATATATATATATATATATATATATATATATATATATATATATTGGTATCATATGTAGCAAGTTTAACTTATTAGTTCGTAAGTTGTTATTGATATTTTCTGACTTTTTGTAAGCTTTGTCCATAAAATTGTACAATTTTCAGTCACAATAAAACATATTTCTATTCTATTCTATACACTATACACTAGTTGTAGAACATTTGGAATAGGTAACAGAATCTTATTTGTCAGTAGTAACTCGATCTTCACATGCTCATTCTACATACTCTGTTATTGCCCTACTAAGTTTAAACACATTTTCTTCAATACCTTGTCTCCACTGTTTCAATCTTGGTTCTAATTCCTTTTCAATAAGACTACATACACCACCAGCATAAATTAAGCACCAAAGATTGTCACTTTGGAATTTCACCATTATCTTATCCAAAACTATCATTTCTTCAGGAGCCGTCTATCAATCACTCGTTTCCGTATTTTCATGATTTAGGTAATTGTTTTGGGGTCCTATAATTTTAATATTTTTGGACATATTTGTTTTTTACACAGCGACCAAGATGTTGTTTCTGGTAGTGCTCTTTCTGTTTCTATTAACGCTTTCCATACTTGTCTAATGATATCACCTATCCCAACTGCTCTACTTTTTTATTTTCTGTAGTAACTTCCTTGTTTGTTATTTTACCTTGATACATTATCAATGGTACTTTATGTTATGCTATTATATTCCATATATACATGTGCATTTATGCACATTAACAAACACACTTTGTATGTTTATGATTTCAAGCTTTGAACATAATTGGTATAAATTAAGTATAGTTTTGTTGTTACATACTTTTGTTTTGTTTCAGGATGGCAGCACAGCTCTAGCAATAGCTATGGAAGCTGGTCACCGACATATCGGAGTTCTGCTCTACGCTCATGAGAGGAATAGTCAAAAGTCTCATAACGTGAAGTTAAAAAAAGCAAAATCAACAAATAGTCCGAAAACCCCTTCCTCACCACTGGCTGCAAGAAGTAGCCATCGTGCCTTAACAGATACGAAACCTAAATAGTACTAACCCATTTTTAACTGTGTTTTAACTTAAGGAGGTAATGCGTGTTGTATGTTCTGTTAACCATTGTAATCTATTCATATACGATGGTTCTAGATTTTTGGCATGTAAAATGCAGATTTGTTAACTCTCATAAAGAGAGGGAACCTAGAGTTATTCATCCGATCCAAACAACTCTATCTAGATAAGAATGTTCTTATGGAACGGAAAAGGAATCTTAGAAAAGAATCTTAGTCAATATAATTCAAGAACCAAGTTTGTAGATATTAATTTTGTTATTGAATTGTATGTCCTACGCAGGTCAAAAATCTAGGTATTCAATAATCAATATTTATGATTCAACGAAGTGTAAGAACGATTGATTAAATAGTTTTTGTAGTATTTTGTACGATATGACTATTGGACGGTAGCTAGTCCGTATTAGAGTAGTATAATTGTTGATATTTTATTATTAAAATTTAAAATTTGAGACATTTGTTACTGTATTGTTATGATATTCATAGATGAACGATTATTGTCATAATATTAAAAAAAACCTTCTGTTATAAACATGATTACACAGAAATGGATCCAAATTAAGCTTCAGTGACAAATGTATCTGGAACATTTGACCCAAAGAAGCATTTGTATTTCAATTTGTATTATTGACTAGAATGGAACATCTACCTATAAGTTTCCAGTTTGCCAGAGGCTTACTTGATAAAATTCAGAAGAATAAAATTTTGGTTTTTTATTTTTTAACAGATTAAGTGCCAGGCGTTTTTTCTATAAATTCAAAATATTTTATTTGTCTACCCAAATGTGACAAAACACTCGAATGTTTGCTTGTATCCACCTAATTGTGTGTACAATAATGATTTCTTAATTAAATTAGTGGGAAGACATCTGTGGTTGAAATCGAAAACTACAACCTGCAATTATATTACAGACCCCTATACTACGTATTGACCTAATGAAATAGCATTGTTTAAATAGTACTAGTTAGACAATCCTTATGGAACAAATGTTTGACTTATAATCTGCCGTCATGTGGCGGCCTCTAGTCATAAATTTAAAAAACTATTAACAGAGACTAAATTCCCTGCAGGATTCTACTCGAGTATATTTTTAGGTGTCTGATAACTAATTCAAACTTGTACACGGATGCCAAATTGTAAAGAAAATATATGACTTAAATAAAATGCTTATTGTTATTATCGTCGTATACGTCTTGTGAAAGATAACTTGACTATTTCGAGCGATTATTTCAAATTGTTTTTATACTTTCAGACTTGCTAAATTTAAATCGGTCAGTAATCTATTTAAATGAAGTAGATAAATGCTGCCGTTTTTTTTTTAATTTTTATTAGTTTACCAGATATTAAATTTGGTTATGTGATTTGTTAGAAAAGGATTAAATATTTAATTGAAATAGACTCGATTGCTATCGTCTTAGAACACTCATGCGGAGGTTTATTTTTTAGTCAAGACTAAAGAGAGATTTGGTCAAGATTGTAAGACTTAAATTTTTCAATTAAGTTTTATCATTGTTTAAAAAAGAAAATCTTTTTAAAAAGTGGTTTTATGTACGTTTTGTCTAAATTAATTTTTCTATATTTTAATCTTTAAAATGACGTTTGGAAATATAGTAATTTTATGGGTTTGGTTTTTTGATAATGGTTTTAAAACAATAAACAGATCGATATGCCACAAGAGGCAACATATATTTGGGCAACATAAATTAATCTATGTGTTGGGATAGGATAAAAGGAATAATAATTAACAAAAATTTAATAAACTGTACTCTTTACTTTATTTACTTATGTATTTTATAATATACACACCATTTTTGTATTTCTGTTTACATAAATGAGAATGTTCGCCCGATCTGAGCTGTTAATTAATGAAATAATTTTAAATTACAAAGTGATAGAAATTGCAAAAATTAAATTCGCATTATTTTAATAGTTGTATAACACATCAAAGTTCTAATATCTACACATAAACAATATTAACAAAATCATAATTCAAGGTAAAAAAACAAAACAAAATTGTTTACATTAATAGTTATAGAAATTGATTGTAACATTGTTAATGTAATCTCCTTTGAAGTGTACAATAATTATGAAATATTTTTTTATTGACCAATGATGATAACGGCATATCTATAAGCTGTTCAACAAAATCGTCAGTTCAGAATTAACACGTTCAGTGTAGAATAATGTTACTGCATAGACGTTTTTTTTTTTAAATTGGTTAGCTCCAGACTTTCCAATGCAGCATTACCTACAACAATATTATTATTAATACAACGGAAAAAAAGCAACTTTCTGCAAAATAAAGTAAAAAAATAATTTAAGTTCTGTATTCAAAATATAAATAGCTTAGCAGTCATGCAAAACTACAGGAGCAATGCGACCAATTTGTAACAATAATGTTAGAAGACTCTGAGGTTTCCAGGGCAATAACTAACACGTCCACGGAGGAAGTAGTAATAGTATATTATGTAATCAATTCCCAGTAAAAATAACAGGCAATACCAACCAACCAAAGTAATGCTACAATTTTTATGGATTTTTGTTCGGTATTGTTATATCGAAAATTTATTTACACAAAGTACCTCGACAACTATGCTCATTGGTACAAGAACAATAATATTAAATATAGAATAAAATGAGAACAAATAATAATTATATTATTTTAACTAATCTATTTCGTTAAGTCTTGTGGTAGAGTTGAACGGTTTTTAGAAACTGTATAGTTTTTGTTATCTTTGTATGGTTGTTAAGCGGTTCCTTAGAGTAGGTTTCAAGTTCCGGGCTTTATACAGATTGGTGAATTGTTTGCAGTTGGTAAGTTTGGTGTGGTTGATTCGTAGTCTTCTAATAGTCGATGCTTCTCTTCTGGTTAGGAAGTCCAGGGGGAGATGACCAATAAAAGATTGAAGTTTATGAAGAGTTGTTTTAGTTTTTTGCTATAAGTTTTGTTAAGTATCCTCTACTAACTTTTTGAAAACGAATTTCGAAATTCGTTAGCTAGGTGAATTTGGTTGACTCTAGTCGCCCCATGGTTGGTAGCTTCTTTGGCAAAATGATCTGCTGTTTTATTACCAGTAATTCCGGTGTGAGAAGGCAGCCATATGAGAGAAACTGTTACATGGTAAGCAGAGAGATTTTGTTATATGTCATGAATGTTTTGAACTAATAGGTGGTCAATGAAAATTGTATTGACTAAATAGATATATGAAAGGTAATCTAAACAAATGGCAATATGTCTGTTTCGATGGGGGATGCATTTAAAGGCCAAGAGAATACTATATAGTTCACCTGTGCAAACGTTGCATGTTAAGGGTAACCGAGATGATCTTTCAAGTTCATGTTTAGTGGTTACTGCACAACCAATACCAGTGGTAGTTTTAGAAACATCTTTATAGAGAATTAATTTCTAAAAATGCCTTCTTTATAAAAAGGTTAGAAGATTAAAGTTTGTTAAAAATGGTGAGTGAGGTATATATTGAAGGGAGATCTTTAGCCCAGAGGGGAAGTAAAGGTAGAAGAAATGAATTAGTCAGAAGGAGGTCAATATTTTTAAGTAGTGAAGAAATTAATTGAGTTATAGATTTTATGATAAGGTGTTGGTTATTTTGTTAGTGGAAGAAGACAGCATTGTGGCAATTAAGGAATGAACGGGATTAAAGAGATTTGCGGATGTTGATGTAGCATACGAAAGTAGAAGAGATTATCGTCTTAGGTTAAGAGAAAGTTCATTAGATTCACGGTATACACTCTTAATAAGACTAAAGCGAAAAGTGCCTAGACCTAGATGTAGTATCATCGGCACCCCATTGAAGATGACTGAGGGTTTTAAAATTGTTCAACCTTTTTAAACAATTGGTTTTAAGTTCAGAGATTTGATTCTTCCAATTTAATCATAACTATCTGTTCCAATATACTGTTTTATGTATATCAAACATAAAACAGAGAATTTTACATTAATTAACAACAGAAACTGGAGAATTGTTAAATAAAATTTGGGGTACGAGTGGAAATCCTTCTAAAAAATTTTATTAATTTGGTTTACTCTGAGAGAATGATAATCCTAGTTTGTTAGATCTACCTTGAAGTAGATTTATTGCACTTTGTATAAGTTTATATGAGGTTGGGACAGATTTAACAGCAGTAAATGATTAGGTCATCAGCGTATTGAACATATTTGATGGTAGGCAAATTTCGTTTGCAAGAATGAATAGAGTTAAACTCGATACAGATTCTAAAGGGACACCCTAATTTTGAGGACGGGATTGAAAAATTTTACCATTGGCAAGGACTTTAAAGATTCTTCCAGTTAGATCATTTTTTACAAATGAGAAAATGTTACCATCTAAATTGTAGTGGGAGAGTTTGTCAATGACTGCTTTTCTAGATTGAATAAAATGCCCCTTCAACGTTAAATATAGTTGCTACGACATCTTGTTGATTATAGATTGCTTAAGAATTGTGTGTTTGAAAAATAAAAAGGTTATCAATAGTAGACTAATCGGAAGCCGGATTGAGCGTCAGGAATAATATTATACTGTTTAACGAACCAAGTAAGTATTTTATTGATCATTGTTTCAAGAAGTTTGCAGGTGATATACGTAAGAGAAATCGGACGAAAAGATTTTTTAGGTTTTTTAATTGGAATGATTATAGAATTCACTATTCACTCCCCAAAGATCTGGGAATTTTTGTGTGTTCCAGATAAAGTTATAAATTTCGAGAAGTTTGGAGGGAGATGTGTTAACGAGATTTTTTGAAAATATATAAGGGATATCATCAGGATCATCAGCAGATTTTGTACATCAATCAATATTCTTTATTTCATCTGACTTTTACAAGTATTGAAATGCGTCAAAATACAATCTAAAAGACTATAGGTACATAGGTAGTAAAAAAAGTAAAAACTATAAGCACAATCATAAAACATAAAATATACACAAAAACATACAAATTGTTAAAAAGATGAATGCAAGTATTAGTCTAAGGAAAAGAAAGTGTTTGCCAGAAGTAATTTCTTAACTGTTTTCTTAAATACATAAATATTTAACTCTTTAACATAATTAGGTAATTTATTATACAAACTAACGCATGTTGGGTAAGGACCCTTGCCCACAACAGTCAAGTGACGAGCAGGGGTCACCAAATCATTTCTGTAACGAAAATTGTAGCCACTCATTAAGGAAACATCATTTCTGCAAATAAAATTACATCTATGTGACTTCACATATACAACACAACTGAAAATATACAGCGAAATTACAGTTAAAATATTTAATTGTTTAAAAATTGGTCTACAGGAATCCAAGCGCCTTCTAAACGTCATGGTACGAATAATTTTTTTTTGAAGAACAAGCACCTCCTTAATACGCGAGCAATTTCCCCAACAAACTAAGCAATATTGCAAAATTGACTGTACATGAGCAAAATAGTAAAGTTTCAAGATTTCTAGGGACACAAAATTCCTAAGTTGCCATAGAACATAACAGTGTACAGACAATCTTCCCACTACATAATCAACGTGAGAACTCCAAGACAATTTAGAATCCAGATAAACACCTAACAACTTGGTGGAGTGGCTATTTACCACAGACCCATTGTCAAGCCTTACTAATGGACTCATCGTCATAGTAGAAGATGAAAAGGTTACCATATTGGTCTTTGATCCATTTAAGATTAGAGCATTATTTAAACAGTAAAGACTCATACTTTTTACAAGACAGTTTGCTTTTTGAACTACATGAGAAAAATTATTGGAATTTAGTGCAACTGTGGTATCGTCAGCAAATTGAGTGACGTAACAGCCTGATTGCTGTTCCTAGTTTTCTCCTCGAACGCTTATTGCATCAGAAAAATTATCTAATGGATTCCGAACCAAACATGTTGAGCTATCGTTTATCAGTTGATTTAAATCGTTGACAAAAATCAAAAATAAAAGAGGGCCAAT